TATCTTATTTCACATCCACACCCAGCAACAAAGCCACATACACACCCAGAACATATGCAGGATGATCCGCTTGTATACATCAGTCCGTACCACACCCATACAGGTGCAGTACCCTCAACTAATCTCAACTCGTTTGTTTACGATGTTTACGGTCACTAAGCACCAGATGTTCTCGCTCAGCGATTAGATTCAGGCCAGTTGTAGGGCCCAAAGGCATCAAAATTTGCCAGCCCAGGAGGGAGCATCTTTGACTGCCACTTGGAGCAAAATGATTATTGTATATATATATATATAGTATATTTATGAAAATTGATAAGATGATATAACATGTGCAAAAAAGAGTGAAGGGAACAAAATTGAAGAATTTGGCGCATACTGTAGGACTTGCAGAGCGGAAAACGTCTCTAAGATATCAGAAGACCAAGGAGGCACGAGGAAGTTTAAAAGCAACTATACAATATTTTTTGTGTATATACATTAATCATTAATATTGTATATATTGTTTAATATATATATTATACACGCACATAATATGTTTATGCCTTCAATCAACTCATGTGTTGTTAGCATGGTAGGATCTTCATGGTTTTCATTATGCAAGAACGGCCAACTTCATTTGCAAAACCGCGTTCTGTCCCTGTGCCTGGCTGAGGAGCTAGAAGCGAAGCATAGATTGATACGGCGTCTTCGACAGAATATGACCAAGTGCTTGGCTTGTTCAATATTTTTGCAACATGTTCAACCAGTTCAACCATGGTTTGAGATTTAGTTTTCCGTGATCTTTTCATAGTCGTTGGCTATCTTAGACTTTTGGATTTGTGCTCGAAAGCCTGAGGTCTAAATACTTGCCGCAATATGCTACAGGCCCTGCCACGTGTGATGGCACTCAGTTACTTGGGCAACCGCAAGAAGCAGTATAATATGGTAGTGTAAAATACCAAAAAAAACATAATTACTTTACTTCGTGTGATCCCCACCATGACATTTATACATTTTCTTACTGGCAAATCTTCTGGCATTCTATCTGACATATCTTCTGACATTCTATTTGACATTCTATCTGGCATATCTTCTGGCATATGATCTGGCATATCTTCTTGCATATCTTCTGGCATTCTATCTGGCAAATCTTCTGGCATTCTATCTGGCATATCTTCTGGCACTCTATCTGACATATCTTCTGGCATTCTATCTGGCATATCTTCTGGCATTTATTCTGACATATCTTCTGGCATTCTATCTGACATATCTTCTGGCATATATTCTGACATATCTTCTGGCATATCTTCTGGCATATCTTCTGGCATATCTTCTGACATATCTATCTGGCATATCTTCTGGCATATTTTCTTGCATTCTATCTGGCAAATCTTCTGGCATTCTATCTGGCATTCTATCTGGCATATCTTCTGGCATATTATCTGGCATTCTATCTGGCATATCTTCTGGCATATCTTCTGACATTCTTTCTGACATTCTTTCTAACTTTCTTCTGCACATTCTTTGTCCCATATCTTCCTACATGAGGTCCGGCAGGGACCACTGGGCGCGGATGGTCGCGGTTGAGGTCCGGCAGGGAACACTGGGCGTGGATGGTCGCGGTTGAGGTCCGGCAGGGAACACTGTGCGCGGATGGTCGTGGTTGAGGTCCGGCAGGGAACACTGGGCGTGGATGGTCGTGGTTGAGGTCCGGCAGGGAACACTGGGCGTGGATGGTCGTGGTTGAGGTCCGGCAGAGAACACTGTGGATCGCGGGTCGCAGTTGAGCAAGGACAACGAGGACGACGAGGACGACGAGGAGGACGAGGAGGAGGAGGAGAGGAGGACGAGGCAGGAGGAGGCGGAGGAGGAGGAGGAGAAGGAGGAGGAGGAGGAGGCAACTGACATAAAATCTAACAACCCTCACCTGGCAGGCGGGGAAAAACATTACAACGAATCACCTATGGGATCTATGGGTTTGCTTCAATTTGCAACTTGCCACCTGATTTAATACCAGTGTAAACCCCTTTGAAATGGGGAGAACACGTTGCCTGAACTCAGCCAATGGATTCTGAAAAGAAAAGCCGGAGGGAGACATTGCATTGGAAGTGTCATGATGTCTCAGGGAGGCGCCTAAGGATTTCGAATCTAGGTGCGAGGGTCGAGGTAATACTTGTTAGTCTCTTGCCCTGCAGCCCCCATGCTGTTTGCTGCTAAGGTTACCGTGCCTGCGGCAGCATTGATGTTGGCAAAAAAAACAACGCAGATCCTGAAAAGCAAGCAAATGGTGAAGAAGGATATGGCCACACATGTGCAATTTGTCAGCCCAGAGTCTGCGCCGCTGGCAACCTCAGGTGCCCAACTGATGCCAGCAACCCACCTGCAATTAGATAGATTTATGATTTATATAGATAGAGGAGTTGCCCCACGACATCTGTCCATCCTATGCCATTGTGTGAGGGGGTTGGAAGTTGTCTTTGGTAGGCACCGATCCATGTTCCACGCTCCAGAACTGCAGCGCGGGCGGTTACCACGATTGTTCCGGCAGCTTAAAGGCTTCTCGGCAAGAGTCTGTAGCCTATGGTAGCCTTCATTGCAGCTGCCATTTGTTTGATCCTTGCTGCATCTTGCTAGTGATTGCTTTGAACGCCTTGGCCCTTGGCCTGAACTTTTGTTCTCTTGCTCCCCACCCTGCAGATTTGTTTGCCGAACAGAGAGACGGACAAGTGCGAAAGTGGAGCAGCTTGTCCTTGGGATTCAGCATGCTCATTCTGACTCCTACTCGCACGCGGAATTTGAAAGAAACAATGCAACAAAGCAGCCGCTCGAGCCTAGTGGATCCTGGTGGTGGTTTGAAAGCCAAGCCTTTCAGTTTGCTAGCTACGCTGGCAAATACTTTGCTAACTTTACTTGTATGAGTTGGCTGAGGACGATTGTCTCCTGCGATGTAATGGAGTTTTTGCCGAGGACTGCTAAAGCAAAATGTCTTAGATGTTGGATGTTTTCTTTGCATGTGATTCACCCTGATGAGTTCCATAGATCGTTCGGGTTTGTAGGATTCCGATGGCAGCTTGAAGAAGTGCAAGGAATTAACGGAGGACAAATGCAACGGCTACTATGTCTCTTGACAACTTTTGGATACTTTTGGAATGAATGGGTTGTGTTCCCTCAGGGGATAAGTCATCGTCCAATGGTGTGAATCCAGTGTGGTAAGCTTCAAGTTGGAGTTTGACTGGATTTAACCCGAGCCAGAGCCCAACTGAACAAGTGCCAAGGCTGCAGACCCTGAGTATCTAACGACCGGAGTGGGTGCCCCGGAGGCACTTAGAAGATCTTAGAAGCACTACTTTCAGATCTTTCAGGAATTGATGCAAATTGCGGCCATTTCCAAGCCTGTGATGTGATTCGACAATATTCGAGCACTGTGAGCCTTTGAGCTTGTGCATAGGCGAGTTCTGTAAGAAGTGTTTTGAGATGTGGCCCATGTGGCTCAAAACATCCTACCCTGATTTTCGTTGCTTGCTGAACTTATGCTTCTGTTCTTGCAGTGAACAGAAACAGAGATCCAAAGCTGTTTACCGCCAAGGGCTGTTGCACACAGACATGCGCATTGTATGTGATTATATATACGTATAATTATATATATTTATATATGTGTATAATATAAATTGTATGTATATATATATAATTATATATCTATATTATGCACATGTGTGTGTATGTGTTCGACAAAGCCTCGCTACACCAAGCCTTCGTGCAAGTTGCTTTGCTTCTGGTCGCTTTTTTTTGCGTGTATTTTGTGTTCCAAAAGGCATTTTTTGCCCAAGAAAACACAATGACAATAACTATAAATACTATAAATCCAATTCGAGGACCACGACAACAACCAATTAGAGCATGAGGAAGAAAGCCCAACTTAGGTGAGTGCAGCATGTGAATGAGAAGTGTTTAACCAACACTGGACAAGGATGTAAAAGGATTACCTGCCCAGATAAGGTACTGAACAGTTTTGCAATACAAAAAAAAACAGGTGATTCTTCCAGCCACTTCCGGTACCCCAATCTGATATAAATGCCCTGGGAATGACTACTTGCAAGAACTAATTCTCGTATCACAATTCATCATACACTTGCATTCTTTTCAAGGGCGCGCTGTTGATTCCAAACCGAGGCTATGAGTGTGGACTTAAGGAAGATCGCACCTGTGCAGTCAAAGGAACGTGTGGCGTGCAGAATCCTCCAGAGAGTTTGGGAGAGAAGCAATGCCGCGTCCTTCCCTCAGTCTCCCATAGTCTCCCCATGTCTTCCCACTTTCATGGCAAATGGATGCAAATGGTATCATACAGATCATACACATGGCATAGACTCGCCATTTTCGCTTATCTTAGCGGTCAGTGCATATCACAGACATTCACGGACTCAGATGGACTGGGCTTTGACCTTGAGCTGTTGCTATGTCTATTGAGGCATGTTGGCAAATGTTTTAGCCAAAGAAACCTGGGTATTCCAAAGTAGGAAAACTATTGGAAAACTATGGTTTCAGAATCCGATTAGAACAACAGAAACTACGTCGACACGGCGAACACCACCAGCAATCCCTAAGTTGCACAACGACGCAGCAAAGGATAGCTCGTTTAATCATCAACGTATAACAGTACAACATCAACTAAAATGATCAAGGACTTTGTGCAATGAGCAGGTGCAATCCTTTCTGGGGTACTGGCTACAGATCTCATTGCTATCATTCCAGCCGCTGGGTTTTCAAGCAATGCATGCTGATTGCTTTGTTCTCATGACGAGCCCAAGGCCCCAGAAGTTTTTAAAGGAGCTTACAATGGCACATGCCAGACCAAAAGGATCCGGCCTGGCAAAGAGTGCACCACACAGTGCCAGAAAGGCTTGATCAGAGTCTACATGTCTCGGATGTTCTCAGGTAGATAGAAAATGATGACAATGTCCCCACAATGTCCCCACTACCTTCGAACACATTGCAACACTCTCATGAGATCTTCTCAGAGCAAGTCCCCATGTGGAATTGCACTGAATTGCTTTGCACATGCATGTTGAATGCCGTTAGAGGTCACACGGATGAATTCTGTTGTCAAGTGTGACGGCAGGTTTCACGCCTTCCCTCAAGACTTTGAAATGCGTGGAGGGCGGTGTCCTTGAGCCGATCCTCGACCAAAGTCCCATAAAATCCATTAGAGTCCTGTGGAGCCTCAAGGCGGCGAATTTTTGCGAAATATTAGTGAGCGATGCACAACAATCATTGCAGCTTTAATTTTTCCTTCACACTATTTCAACAACATCTTATTTCCGAACAGTAGGCCCTCCACCTCCAATTTCAATACAGCAGTTGGAATATTCCCGCCTACTCTGTTCATATGGGAGCCAATCGTAAATGCAAGTCTAAGAATTGCATAAGAATTATGAAAGGGCATGTATGTTTCAACATCAGTGATCCTGCATCGCGATGGGTTCGCGATTGAGACAAACATTTGTTGTATGAGAATCAACTACAGTACTGTAAGAGCAGAAATCAGTATGATCTTGTATGAGATGGACTGGTATTCAGGTTTGTTTGGAAATTGTGCTCAATAGCGATAGCCGATAGCAAAGAAGAATCAGAACAACAAAGTTCAAAGTTTAATAAGCCGTAATAAGCCAGATCAATTCAATTTTCAAAAAATGTCGATGAAATCCGCGGTTGGTGTGCGGTTGGTGTGCGGTTGATCTGCGATTGTTCAACCAACCTGAGTAGGCTCTGGCTCACGTCATGTCTCTATATGCTGTGATATGTATAGCCTAGCCATATTTTGACGATTCTCTGCGTTGGGATCCGGTTGATTCGTGGTTGATCGGCGATTGAAGCTGCCCCCGACACTTCTATTTTGATCAACACCCCCTTGCATATAATTCTATAGGTTCGGCCGCTGGAGAGGCAGCGGAGTCGAAACTGAGAACACATGATTGGTAATTATATAATTATAGTTATTTATATATTCGGTGTGTGTGTGCTATTGTGTGGTTGCGGAGTTTCAAGACGGGGTTTCTGTTCCATACTTTGGAAATCCATTCTCCATCGCTTCAAATGCAGCACGTTCTAAGGAAGTCTTTCTCTTGCATCGCGAACCCATGCAGAGTTTTGAAGGTCGACAATGCCCTCAAGAGCGGCTGCAAGGAACATTGGCCTCATGTGCAGTAGCGGGCATGGGCATGACATCACAACCTGCCAACTTGCCAAAAACCCACTGATACCTACTCCTCAGAATCATTCACAAGCTCACTTTGCACGTGCAACTCACTTTCTTTTGTCAGGAGGGGCCTGACACTGGAGAAGCTGTCATCGAGTCCGGGCTGGCCTGCACTACTCAGTGTCAGGCGGGACCAATGGCTTGGGATAGCAGATGCTAAAAGAATTCGAAGCGAGCACAAGCACACGTTTGAATATGTCCCCGCATGTCCCATCGTGTGCCCACAATGGAAAACTATCAGAACAGCGTGTGAGACCCCATAACAAACAGGTTGAGGTGCAGTATCAAACCTTGTGCTCATGACCTGTGGCCAGAAGTCCTTCAAAGAGTCTCCAGCAATCCCCGGCATAGTTTAGCATAGTTACATAGTTTAGCCATGTTTAACCTTATTTGTACTTTGTAGATGTTGGTGTGATCTCGTGTTTGTATTTGTCTGAGTTGGCAGGACGGTTTCTATGCATCAGACAGCATTCTCCGATGTCATGCCGAGACGCCGAGACACTTAGAACTGGAGCTATGACTGTGCAGAATTTGCTGCAAAGATCGAATATGAGAAAGACACAGACAGAGTTGCACTGAGTTACACTAGTTTCCACTGGTTTCCACTGGTTCTAGATTAGCACCAGTTGGAATGGTTTAGATGGCATATCATGTGACTATCCATGACCACCATGTATAGGCTAATTTTTGTTGATAATTTTCGCTCCGCTAGTTCTTAAGTGGAAGCTAGCTTACACAGCTTACAGTTCCCCATGCTGTCCCATTGCTGGCCTGAGAGTTCTCTGCGTTCTTTGAGGCTGACGCCTGCGACCTTTACCTGCGAAGCGCAATGTGCAGTGCCCACCGTAGCAAACGCAGCTGCTGGTGGTATTTGCAAGGAGGCTCGGGGCCAGCTAAACCCAGAGCAGGCCAACTCACCTTGTTTCATGGTGCTGTCTTTTTCCTATTGTGCATATATATATATTATATTATATTATATATATATATATTATATTACATATTATATTTTAGATTATTATATATATTATATTACATATTATATTATATATATTACTATATATAATATATAATATATAGAATATATATATATATAATATATTATATTATATTATATTTATATTATATAATATAATATTATATTATTTTTATATTTATATTTTTATTTATATTTGTATTATATTACATTATATTTATATTATATATATAATATATATTATAATATATATACATATGATATTGTATAATAATATATATATATATATTATAATATATCTTATATATGTAATTATATATATATATTATTATTATATATAATATATAATATATAATATATATAATATAATATATATATACATATTATAATATATATTATATATATTATATATTATGTCTATATATTATATATATATATTTATTTATATATATATATTATATATATATTATGTGGGTGTACGTGTATGTATTCTTGTATTATATATATATATGTATTTATTATTAGTATTGCTAAATCAACAGACATTGCACTGGAATTTGCGATGTGGCATAGTATGCTCCAACTCCGCGGAATATTTTGCAACCCGAAATCTTTGTGCTGTTTGCGCACTGTGTTGATCGCCTAAAATCATCCTGTGTAAGCTGTGGGATGTGTAGGCATTTAATTGATGTTGTTGTGCAGCCACTGCTGTGGCATTGGTCCACGTTGGCAAATTGAGGGCTCGAATGACTCCGAAACTTTCATGACTAGCGTGTCCTCCGGAGCAGGAGATGTCTCTCCTTTTTTTCAGTTGGATCCTGATAAAGTCCACAGAAGAAATTGAAGAAGTATGAAAAAACAAAAAGGCTTGAGAAGCATCAAGAAATGCCTTTATCAGAATGATCCGTGCAAGCTTCGGAGGCAAAAGACAAGATTATGCCTTTCACCAGCTGTACGACTCAGTGTGCCACGGGCTATACTGCCACTGCACCTTCACTGACGCTGTGGCATAAGGATCATAAAGATCATGAAGATCATGAAGTACTTCAAGCCTTTCTGTTGGTTTGACTCGGCTTGACTATTCTAGCTCCAGGCAGTGCGCAAAAAACGAAACAAAGATTGCTGTCTTGCCATTTGGGCTCATTTTGCTGCACTTTTGAATTTTCGAATCGTTACCCAAGGAGCTGTCGCAACGGAGGGTTCTCACCAGCAACGATAGCCTGCAATCCAGACCCATGCCCTGCACCCACTGGGGCATCATGGCCGCAAGCCGTGGACTGATCCCTGTGATGAGAACTGGCATGAACTGGCAATTGATGCCCTGATGCCCTGATGAATCTTGTTCCTTCCAATTCAATCTCTTCGATATTTTCGACCAATATCACCACTTTATCCTGCATTCAGATCATTCAGGATAGCCCCCAAAAGCCATAGTATGTCACGGAAGTGCTCGCTGGTGCTGCGGAGCCGGACCATCAGTCCGGGAACTGATTTATAGCATGCCGCTACAGCGCTATGCCGCTATGCCTGTCTGAGGTGGAGTTTCATCACAAAACGGGTCCATGTCAGGACGGCTCCACCATCACATCTGGGCACCTGGGCCGAGATAAGCACCAACAAACTCGCGACTCTACCGACACTTTATGCTTGCAGAGTGTGCGTTCCTTCTCAGGGCACAAGTCTTTGCAGTTCATTCATGAAAGGGTATGACGAAATTGGATGAAACATGCTTTTGGATGCTTTTGGCAAAGCCATGTGATACTTATATGGTGGAATATTGTGGAATCTGGTGGAATAAAGATTGCATGAGTTATGGCGGGTTATTGTGTGCTTGGACGCGCAACCGCTAGTCATATCGAGCAATGGCAGGTCAACATGTGTGACCCAGTGCCTCGCAACTTGGTGAAAATCTGTGAGATTTGGGGCCGACTTTAACACCGACTATCCATGACTACCGCAGTGTGGAAAGTCGCAGTGTTTCTTGCAACACATCACATGTCGGATACATGTTGGATACATGTTTCAAATTCTTGCAACTTTGTGCAAGCAAAAATATATTTTGCTCTTCATTGATCTTCATTGCTTTGCCTAGGCCGGGTATACGCCATCGGTGGCCTCTCTTGCATGTAAAGCTGCTACTCTCACTCCAGTCCCTGGGCTAAATTATCTTGACTTCATCTTATTCAATTTAGAATAACCAATAATATTTATAAGCATATTTTAGGCTATATTTGTCTATATTTAAGTTATAGAATGCTATATTATATATGTATATATTACCCACAGACGCCGTGTGTTGCCCAGACATTAACATTGAGAATGTCGGGCTGTCGAATATATGATAGGAGAGATTGCAGAAAATACTGCGTATACGCAGTGTTTTCCAGTTTAGGATTCAAAGTTTTCAGAGCCTAGGTTTCAGGCTTTAGGGTTTTAGGGTTTTAGGGTTTGGGGTTTTAGGGTTTGGGGTTTTAGGGCTTAGGGTTTCAGAGCCTAGGTTTTAGGGTTTAGGATGGTTTAGGATGGCAACACACAGCGCCTGGCCGTAATAATATTATGTAATGCGTCCAAAGAAAAAATCTTGCAACATCTTGGCATCATTTGGCATCCGCTTCGAAAGTGTTTAGCTGGAGGAGGTGATCAGTTCTCTCGAAGTGCCATTCGACTTGCTTCGAATGGATTCGACTTGTCCTTTGCACGGATGGCCAAAAGATGCCAAAAGATGCCAAAAGCGCATTTGAATGCACATATTATACATTATTATACATTATACAATTGTAGCTGCTTATAAGTTGAACATAATTTAAGATTGCAAGGTCAGGCAATGTCAGGCATAGATGGCATAGATGCCTGATCTGGATTTGACAAACTTGACCCCTGACTTGAAACTTTTTTTCGTGGCGTTCACCACGTGTTGCAGCTTTGTCGAGGTTCGTGCCGAGGTCTAGCGAGTGTCATGTTGTGTCACATAGTTTTGTATTTAACTGTTACATACTGTTACATTATTGATATTGAGAGAATTGAGAGACGTTGACATCAAGTGTGGAGTTGATGTGATCAGAGATGGAATCGCCTGGAATCGCCTTTTGGAGTGACTTGTTTAGCAAGACTACCAAGGCAACTTTCCAGTGCGTGCCGAACCCATGCAGCATCCCTGACGTGAAGAATACAGCTGGCAGCGGCTGTGAAGGAATCAAGGGAGATAAAGTCGACTCTGGAAAGGCCATGGCGGGCCACAATGAGCGCCACATGAGCTGTCATGAGCTCACATCTCGATGCAAAATGATGCTGGGGATTGCTGTCAACATATCTAAATTGTGTCACAATGGTAGATCATATATGATCATATATGATGTAGATCAGTCTGATTAGATCATCATAGATCATATTTACTTAGATCATATTAGAACGGTCTAGGTCCCTATACTAATGCAGCATTTGTTTTCATGTTGTTTCGTTTCGGGCAACCCCCCTGGACGCCCTAGCAAAAAAATGCAACAAATAGGCTAAGTATGGCTATATACGCACAAGCCAGGCCCTCAAAGCTGCTAAGCACATCCTGCACGTGCATGGAAGTGAAGACTCATTCGTGGCAGACTTTGATTGAGTAACAAATGAGGAGATCGAGGGAGATAATGAATGCAAGATGCGCGATTGATCTGAGATGCATGTCCCATTGGCATCAAACAAATTCAATGGAATGAGATGGAATGTCAAAATATGTCAAAATGATTCAAAATGCAAGTCCGCGCTGCACTGATCTTGGCATATGGCAGGCATGCACGACTACTTGCAAGACTGGCTACACTCCATCGGAAAAGAAATTGGATTGCTACGCACAGGTCTTGACTCCTCGCATCTTTGAATGTCTGGAAGACCCCTGTCCGATCCCTTTTGCGAAGAACCAGGAAGGCAGTGGATGTTTGGGAGTGCCAGGCCGCGTGGACGGTACAGTCATCGAATCTGGGGAGACATGCCGGACAGAGTGCCTAGAAGGTTTCTTGTCATTTTTTCGCACAAATCTGGTCATTTCTTCTCACAAATTTGATCAAATTCTCATTTCTTCTCATTTCTTGCCCTCAGATTTAAGCATGATTTTGCATGTTCTGCCATGTGTCGCATGCTGTCACGCATTGTCAGGTTGTGTCAGTTTTTCTGAGGTTACTCAAATCAAGGTTTGTCGGTTCATTGTATAATATTGGATAGACACACACCTAGAGAACCCAAAACCTATAAAAAAATGTAGGTCGCAAGAAAAAAACGTTTTTTTGGAAAAAAGGTGGAAAAACCCGGTTTTTGAAAAACAACTACATCTACCCTCTAGGTTATTGCATAGAGCCTCGTTTCATGCCATACAACAAATTTCATATCATATTCAATCATATTCATGTCATTTCATTTACTTTTGAATGCTATCATGACAACATATCAATATAAGATATTTGTGTCCAAATCATTGAGATTGTGTCGTTACCTACCTTATTCCAGGTAACAACATGGTTACCCAGTCGTTCGGATCCATTTACTATCGAACTTTGTTGTGCATGGCATAGCGTTTCCTTTTCAGAAAATTATCGAAATCATGATTGTCTTAGGGCAGAAAATGCAGGAAATCAGCAAAACCCGTATTTATCCCGTAGTCAACCCGTATTTTGGGGGTCCCCCCCCAAAAAAAAACAGATTTTGCACAACCTGTATTTATCCCGTAGAGAACCCGTATTTATCCCGTAGTAACCCGTAGGAAAAATATGGGTTTTTGGGCATGGTTCCTGAATGCAAGTCATGCAACTTTTTTAACTTGGAGGAGGGGAGCTGAAGGTCCAAAAACTATATATCAGTTCAATTGTGGGGAACGCTCACTCCAAGCGGGATGGAAACGGTGGAGGATCTGGACGGAAACGTCTTTTCAAACAATACAATTTATATAGACTTAAACCGGATTGATAAAATGTGGAATGAGGGGGATTGAAGGTAAATGGATATTTGATGAAATTTCAGTGAAATGGTGGAATTGCAAAAACCAAGGTTTTGGAAGAACCTGGTTTTTTAGAGAAAAACCTGGTTTCTACCGAAGAACCATCATTTTTATAGGTTTTGGGTTCTCTAGTTATATGTATTATATATAATTATATAATATATATGATATTATAGTACAGTATAGATCAATGTACTAGTTCCGTTCCAGATGTTCCAGTGAGGTTTCGCATGTTTGGCTGCGTTGCTGAGGTTACTATGCCTCTGTTGAGACCATGAGCTGCACGACCGGTACCCTCTCTCCTGCTTCATGGAGCTGCATCGAAGATCCTTGTCCAGCCCTGGAAGGCATCGCCAACGCACCAAAATTGACTTGCAAAGAGGGAAAGTCGATCTTATCTGGAAAGGTTTGCTCAACTCAGTGTAGCTTGGCTTTCTAGCAGAGCTGTGTTTTCTCAATGTGAGATCGTAGACGGGCGGGGGCATACACTCTGTTGTGTGTTTGACATCGTTTGAGAGTGGTTGATGCTCAGATATGCTCAGGCAAAGGAGGATACACGCCAAACTATCCAGAAATGAAATGCCGCCGCGGCAAGTTCTTCTCTCCCAGCACTTACATTTGTGAGCCGGATGCGTGTCCTTTGCCAAATGTCAGAAATCGGCTCGAGAGTGGATGCAGTGGCCTTCCACACCCGGCAGTGGTGAACTCCGGTAGTAGCTGCTCGACACAGTGTTCGCCGGGCTACACTCCTTCCGTTGCGAATCTGAAGTGCTTCGCTGGTAAACTCACCCCAGTCTCTCAGCAACTTATTGAGTCCTTTGATATCCTTTGATGTTTTTTGATACCAAATAGTTCCAATATTTCCATAAAATATCATAAAATGTCATGGTATTTCACGGTATTTCCAACTATTTCACATTTTGATCATGTTCTGTGCTGACATGATCTTGTCGCGGTGTGTTTTTTTGGCCGCGTTTCCCTTCACGTTGCATTCTGAGTTGGAGTGGGTTCCATAGATGTGCCTGTCCAACTGAGATCCAAAGGACAGTGCAACCTTGCGATGCAGGCACTAGTGAGGCCTAATACAGAATGATACAGAATGATAAGTGATGCAAAAATGTATAGTATATTAGATTGCTTTGCTATATACAGTAATGCTATAATATGCTATGTAACCGCCTGTTATGCCTCAAGATTTGCAGTGATGCGACAGGTGAGTTAGATCAGGGAAGCATTGTTTCTTCAGACTCAAAATTCCTAACCCCTACTGCACCCATTAGCAAAAAGGTAGCCGCTCCGCTGAGGGAACCTTCGCGTGCACAGAAGATCCTTGCGATGCTCCAAGTGGCATTGAGGACGGAGCAGCCCAGAGCTGCAAAGAGGGCAAAGTGATTTCGTCAGGCGACAGTTGCACCACTCAATGTGCTTCTGGCTACACGCCATCCAAGTCCACCTTGTCCTGCAGTCTGGGAAAGTTCTCCCCAAGCACTTACTCTTGCAATCCAAATCCGTGTGCATTGCCGCAGTTCAGCAACCGATTAGGAAATGGCTGCAAAGGTCAGACTGGAAGAACGATCGAGTCTGGTGTAACATGCATTGCGCAGTGCCAACAAGGCTACACTCCCTCTGAGACAAGCCTCAAGTGCACCGCCACAGTTCTGACTCCACGCACCTTCACTTGCGATCCAGATCCATGCCCCCTTCCATCCATCAGCAAGGCCCAGGCAAATGGCTGCAAAGGACTCAGCGGTAGCATGATCGACTCGGGGGCCAAGTGCCAGGCTGGGACCCGCTTGACAACAGACGCACGTCAATGCACTATATGGATATGGATCGATATATTTAATCTACGGAACATGTTCACGAACACATTAATTTAACATATAGATAATACGAATGTAAAACATTGTAAAATTATAAATTAATTGTAATGAATTGCAAAGTTAACTCAACATAATCTAACCACTTGCCGCTGTATTTGATTCGTGTGTTGAATCACAAAGTGCTGAGCCACATTTGTTTTTTCTCCTGTTGTTTCATTTCTTTGGCAGGCGGAGTGTCAAGCTGGTTATGCACCTTCAGTGAAGGAGCTGAGTTGTCAGGCCACTATTCTGACGCCTGCGACGTTTACCTGCAATCCCAAAGCCTGCAAGCTTCCAAGAGTGCAGTACCAGGCAGGAAAAGTAGACGGGGTCCAGACGGGAAAAGATACATAATGGAAGGCTCCGCTGCTTAAGACGCTTGATTAAGTAAGGAAATTTCCAACTCACGGAGTGCAGTCATTTCGAAATCAATTGAATATTACATTTGAAAGAAGTCCCACATTCCAGTGCATTGATTCGATCCGGGTCAAAGTAGCAAGGCAGGAGAACGATCAAAGGCATGCTTTTCCTTTCCAAGTTTTTTCTCATAGCCGTCGAACCACTTCGATTGACCACAAACATGCCGCTATCTATGCAGGCAGGGAACGGCTGTCAGGGAAAGCGTGGAAGCACCATCGCCTCCGGCAGCACCTGCCAGACTCAGTGTTCAGCTGGCCTCGGACTTAGAGTATTTAGAGTCGTTAAAAGTCGCTCAATGTCGCCGGAGAACTTTTGCAGATGAGCAAACTCGCTAGTGAGATCCAACGAGATCTAGCTAGAACTAGGCAGATCTAGTGATATCTAGTGATATCTAGTGAGCATGTTCAGATCCGAGATTATCCGAGGTTACACACCGGACATCGCTTCTTTGAGTTGCTTTGCTGAGCAACTGACACCAACCACCTTCTTGTGCAGCTTGGAACCGATTCGACCGCAAACATGGCTGCAAGGTGGATGTTTCAACTATCACAATATATTATAATATATTTAATGATGTGTATAAATATAATTACACATATATATATATATATACACATATGATATAAACAAATAAATAACAAATAACAGTAACTAAAAGTATTTATTATAAACATAATATATGTGTATGTGTGTAATATCAATCCGTCATGTCCCTTGATAGGGATAGTTATACTGCGAGCTGCCTACTGCACTAGCTGAGGCAATCCTACTCCCTGCACTTTGCCAAGGGTGACAAACATGCCCCTAGCTTGCACACTTTGCGAATGAACATATTTTTTTGAGTCTCCTCCAGCTATTCCAAATATAGACGCATGGACCAGTGGTCGCATTACTGGTAAATGTCAGCCAATCTCAGCCAATGTCAGATGCTTTTGCACATCGTCCCAGCCAAGGCAGGGCAATGGTTGCAAAGGCAAAGTTGGAACCGTGATTGCTTCAGGGGCAATTTGTTCGACGACTTGCGCGCCTGGTTTTGAAGCCTCAGTCGTGCCCTGGCATCTCAGATGTCAGCAGCAAGCATGAAATGCTGTGCCGTGAGGCCAACTGAAACTTTTTAAGGCAATGAGATCTGTTCAGAATCTGTTCTCATAGAATATCTTTGAATTCTCTTCGGCCAATACCACATGCACCAAATGCACTCAGCTCATCTCAACTTTCAACTGTGCTCAGACAATCTCAGCCATCCTTTGCTTCAAGCATGACTGAGATGTCTCACTGTGTCACAGGGCAAGCTCACCTGTACAGCCGGTACCCTGTCTCCGGCAAGCTTCACTTGCTCAGAGGTGAGATGCAGGTCACCGACAGGCGCCAAAGCAGATCAAGATGACTAACCACTACGAAATACCACAAAGCTAATTAATGCTATGACATCTACATTAAATACTGAGCTAATATATAACAAATTCAAGCAGATTCAATAGCATAATCAGAGATTTTACGGGAAGCAGATTTTCCAAGAAAAATGAAGGAAGACTTTGCAAGGCAGCTGCATCAGGTTCATGACAGGTCAACCCCGGAGGCTTCAATAGCACAGACTTGCAATGACTTAGCATCGGGCCATCGGGCCATCGGGCCATCGGGCTTTGGGGTCAGTCAGGCCTGCCACATGCACCTCATGTCGGATGCGCAGAGGGAGCGACCATAGCTGGGGGCAGGTCCTGCACTCCTCGCTGCAACGCAACTTTGAACCCATTATTTTTGGACCATGCGACCATGCGACACGGTGTCACAGTGGCCATGCAACACATTGAAATTAATTGCAAGGAATGAAAGTTCTCAAATTCATTGATCTTCAAGCCACAGCACCCCTGGGACCTTTGTTAACATGCTAACAGCAGGAGGTTCTTCTTGACAGTTGGCTGGTGCGACCTTGCGAGGGTCGTTACGACATGTTACGACTACTCGGGGGTAAAATGGGGTAAAGTTTGGTAAAGGTTATCGTCATGATTATTTTGGTTGACCTCAGACAGGAGTCGATGCTGCGCTGTGGGGTGTGTATGTCCGGGTCGGGGGTCAGCGTGCAGGGGCGACTCATTCGGCGTTTGCAGCTGGTAAAGTCTTTCTGATTCTTTCTGTATTTTTCTGCGTAGAGCCGGCTGGATGCAGGGATGATCGTTGGTTTCTATGATCATAGCATATCATAGCGCATCATTTTGAGCCCAGGACTTGCTAAGCAAATCCACAAGACACGGCAATCGCTCTGGTGTGCGCAGCGTACAACACCCAATTTTCGCCACAAGGTAGATCAAGGTAGTAGGAACAAGACCACAGGACAACAAAGATTACATACTGCCCTAAACGCAGTAAAGGTCAAGCGGGATGAATTGCATGCCGAACTTGTTAAAGAAGGTCTCGCGAATATAATCAGACAATGCAGGACAGTCCTCATACGAAATGGAGATCCTTTGTAACCTGAGTCGGCCGATTGCTTGTTGTCTCCTGTGAGTGCAACCGAGTCCGGCTACAAACCATCTGCTGCCTCCATGGTTGCTTGGTTTTGTTTGGAGATCTCAGACTGTTGCAGGAAAAGACAACGGTTCCTTCACTTCTCAGCAAGTTTCTTTCCCCATTCCATCCCCATTCCCTGCCATTGGTTTTTGCATGGCACTGGTTTCTTTGTCCTTTGCTTTCCCTTGGTGTCAAAAGGCGCTGAGGGTGAGCGCCACAGTAGCATGCTCTTTCAGCTCAGCATCTCCATTCACACAAGACTGAAGCATCTGAAGCATTGATAATATTGATATCAGCATCCGTGAGACAGCACTTGTAATGGCAAGTGCCATATGATGATATATGATGCACATGGCTGCGTGCATCACTGCCTGAATCACTGCTTGCGTCCTTGAGATCTTGGAAGCATCCCTTTACATGGCATTGGGCCTTGTGAATGCTTGTTGTTTCCTGTTGTATCTATTGTGAGGCTTGCAGACAAGGCGTTTTTGAGCCGAGTTCCTATTCCTGCCAGCCCAATCCATGCACCATGGCAGCAAGTCCTGGACCTAGACCGGTCAACGTTCCTTCGGATACGAAGACAATGTGCAAGCAGGAAACAGTTTTAGGCTATATGCAATTGCGGGAATTGGATAGGCATGGTTAATCGGTTTACAACATCAACGCAAAGTTGTCAAACCATGTCACAAGCTGAAAAAACCGAAGTATGTTTGTTTTTTTAAATAAATGCACATTGTTCCGCTCCAAGCTCTTCAAAGCTTTGAAGAGTGAGGGAAAAATATGCATGCCTGGGCCTGGACAATGACGAACTCCTGCTTCAGAGCTGGCGTGAAATCGACCGGCGAGTTGTCAACCGACATGAAAGACACCACTGAATTTCCAGTTCTGAAAAATGTTTTCTGCGAGCACAGGGCACATTGCTACATCTCATACTCTCGTGCGGATAGAAAATCCTAGACGGCCAGAATCATGATCGCCCGTGGTAAGTGGTTGGCCAAACAGTCAACACACAACACGCCTCGCAGCACGGCTACGGATGACCTGATGATCCAATGGACATTCCTGGACTGTGAGGCAACATTCCCTCCATCAGCAACGCCGCGAACCCCAGGTGCAAAGAGGCCAGGATCCAGAGACCATCCAGTGATCCATCCAGTCTTTTTCAACCTTTTTCCTATTTCTCCCATTTTCTCCCTCTGTTTTTGTCATTCTTGTCATTCTTGTCATTATTGTCCATCTGCTCATCTACGGATGTGTGTTGAATTGTGCCCACGCATTCTAATTTTCAAGGCTTCTAATGGTTTCAATGGATTTTGCAGACGTGACATTTTGTCAATTTCATGGTGCACTGCTCAGGGAAATATCATCCATCATGGCCAGAAGTGCACGCCAAAGTGTTCCTCAGCTCAACAATTCAGAACCTTATGCAATAAATAAATATCAATAAATCAAATGCAAGCGTCTATTATAATTCTTGGCTACCCAGGTGCCAAAATCCCGGAACCTCACTCATACTCATCTTGTTTCATTGATAATGAGTTCTTGCACTTGCAAACCTCGAAGTTCCGATGTGGGTCCGCTGGAAAAGATTCTTGTCGAGCGAGGCAGAACCAACTACGTGCCATCAAATTCCGGTTTGACATGTATGGCTGGCCGGCTGACTCCTTCGACATTCACGTGTCAGGCTTGCCCAGCCCTGGGTCCACGGTGGCTCTGGGGCAGTCTCTGGGGCTTTGCGGGATTTGTGGGGTCATGTGGTGTCATGTGGTGTGATGTGATGTCAGAGGCTTCTGGACTCTGGCAGAAGTCCGAAACTGTTTGAGGCTAGGGATGTCGCTAGTTCCCTTATGCTTGGCCAATCGTGGCCAGTCAATATTGTAGAGCTTCGCACACCGGCGGTGCCATGAGGGTTAACGTTGCTTTCTGAACCGACAAGAAACTAACTAGCATTACCAGCTTCAGATTGCCAGCTTTGGGCCTCCAAAACGCCCCTTCTGCCACATGCAAACACCACTCATAAGGGACGGACGGGCTTCCAAAGCTGCCCCTGCCAGGCCTAACGTTGCTTTCTGAACCAGAATCTAGCAGCTTGGGACCTCCAAAATGCCCCCTTCGCAACAGGCAAACACTACCCACCTAAGGGACGGACGGGCTTCCAAAGTTGCCCCCTTGCCACTGTCCAACGTTGCTTGATGAACCGAGAAGAAACTAGCCTCTCCATTGAAACATGTTCCGGCGCCTTTCGTCCGTCGTTCATCGCTTTCCCTTGCCCTTCGTGTTCTTGCTCTCTTTTGCAGGTCGCGCTTGCCGTTGTCGATAGCTTTATCTTGCCCATCGTGTTCTTTCGCTCTTCGCCCGTCGTCGGTGCCTTTATCTTGCCCATTTAATTGGCATTGCTTCTCAAGTGCGCTCCCCCTGGGTCCCTGGGGTCGGCGGATAAATCCTGTGCTGCTGCGGTGCACCCTTGGGGCTGATCGTCACGGTTTGCTGTGTGTTGTTGGGTTTCAAAGGGTTCCGAATGGTGCCGCGGACTTCAACATTTTCAGGGTTCCCGTATGTTCTCTCAGATGTTCCAAGGTTCTGCAGTTTTAAAGCAGGGTTGTTGCAACCACTTGGAAGACTTATTCTTCATCATGATCATGATGAGGATGAGGATGAGGATGAGGAGGATGATGATGATGGTGATGATGATGATGATGACGATGATGATGATGATGATGATGGTGGTGGTGCTGGTGCTGGTGCTGGTTCCAGGGGTCCAAGGTTCCAAGCGTTCCAAGCGTTCCAAGCGTTCCAAGCGTTCCAAGTGTGCAGAGGTGATACAGTGGAATGCTAAAGTCGTGCCTAAAATTTGGAAATCATCGTAAATAGCTGGGGAGCACTTGACCTTTTTAGTAAAACGCATAGGAATTGCAATGTTTTGTTGGATTTGGTCTTTGGAATAGTTTTTGTGAATAAATCTTGCGTTTAGGTTGTGTTTAGCATCAAGGGTACCTTTTCCATATTGTTAATAAATCTTGCGTTTAGGTTGTGTTTAGCATCAAGAGTACCTTTGCCACATTGTTAATAAATCTTGCGTTTAGGTTGTGTTTAGCATCAAGAGTAACCTTTTCCATACCAAGTCAAACTGGATGTGAGTGTAGCGATGAGTTGGTGTTTCTATCTTTTTCTTTCCAGTGTGCTGCGGCAGCCATTTTCACTTTTCACTGCGTGCTCAACGCGGCATTGTGGCACTTCAGCGTGTTGCTTGGGATGGAGGTGAGAAGGGTCATTGTTGTGTCTTCGTGTCGGTTTTAGTTTCTTATGTGGTTCCGCAGGCGGGTGGGCAGAGAGCCTTTCTTGTTATTTTTTGACGTCGTTTGCTACGTCGTTCGGACGTCGTTCGGCACGTCGTGATTTCAAAAATAGGAAACCTATAGGAGAGGTTGGTTGTTGTGAATCACGGATGGCAGAGCGAAGCCACTGATGGACCGAGAGCAGCAAAGCGAAAAGAGTCAGCAAAGCGTAAAAAGTCAGCGGACCGAAGCGGCAAGTATTTCTCAACCCCAGAAACATGAACGGTAGAATGCAACTGTAGACGGATTTTTGCGAACATTTGATTTTCCCAAGTGTGGAAACATTCTTCTTATACATACGCGATTCCATGGTGTTTTAAGATTTGGGCATGACTTAGGCATGAGTTTCTTGAAACAGCGATTCCATGGTGATTTACTAGCAAGTTTTGACCCAGGCATGAGTTAGGCATGAGTTTGTCGTTTGACTGTATTGTTGTTTGTTATACAGGGTTTGGGCTCAATGTTGCCAGCTGCAAGTCCAGTGCAAGACACTGATGATTCTGCGAGTCCTTGTTTGCGCACGCGGGTGTGTGTGTGTGTGTCTATACTCTGTCCTTTGTTTCTTCGTGTCTCTCTTCCTTCGATTTACTCGTTTCTTTCTTTGTTTGTTTGTTTGTTATTGGTTGATTGGTTGTTTGTTCTTTTCGGATCGCTCCGTGCCAGTTAAGGACAAAGCACAGCTATCCATACTTGTATATACTTTGAACGTTGGTATTGGAAAATTCCAAAAGTCCGACGTCAGATCACGGTTGCGTCCGGGCGGGGGTTCGCTTGAACATTGGTGTTTTTCTCGCTTGTGCGTCGGATTTTGGATCACTTGAACGTGGGCCATTTGGCTGATCTGCCTTTCTTGTCATGTTGCACATGCTCGCTTATGCTCAACACGGGGGTTGGGAGCGCTTATAACGTTCTTGACGTCTTTGAGAGAGGGTCCACGGAACTTGTTGCCGTTGTTGACATGTTGCACATGCTCGCTTATGCTCAACACAGGGGCTGGGGGGGGTCTTATAACGTTCTTGACGCCTCTGAGACAGGGTCCGCGGAACTTGGAGTTGACAGGGTCCACGGATGTCCCCACCCGCCCTGTCCCCCAAGTCTCGAACCCTAAAGGTGGGAGAGTTGTTGATGAACTGTGTTTCTTGTGCTCGTGCCCCCATGCCCCCCATGCCCCAATGTCCCCATGTCCCCGCCCCCCCTGTCCCCTAAGTGTCAAACCCAAAAGGTGTGGTTGATGAAATGTGGTTGTTGTGCTCGCCCCCCATATCCCCATGCCCCCATGTCCGTATGCCCATGTCCCATGCCCCAATCCCCACCCCCCTGTCCCCTAAGTGTCAAACCCTAAAGGTGTGAGGGGTGTCCAAGTGTCTAATGTTCAAGTGATCCGGAATCCCATGTTCAAGTGAACCGAAAAAGCTCTAAGTGATCCCCCATGTTCAAGTGATCCTGGTGCCTTGCATTCCATCAGGCCCCATGCGCAGCGCCAAATGTGCCTGGGCTCGCACCTGCAGGTTCATACTTGCGCATGGCATCGTGCAGAACATTTGACAGCAACATACAGCAAAAGTACAATCTTTATATTATTTTGATATATTTTATCGTGCTTGCATAAGTTGCACTTTGAGAGGATATTCACAAAGATCATTGAGAGCGACGTGTCACTCGTGGGCTGGTTTGAGCCCGGTCAGGGTCTACGAATGTCTACGAAGCTTTCGCCAAGGTCGTAGATGCGAACCAGCCATGCAAGGAAGGAAATCTGATTCAGCACGGAGCCTCCTGCACATCTCAGTGCAATGTGCCGCCCTCGAGCCATTGGTTGCTGTTCGAGACGGACTATGCCCCAAGTCTTTTAATTCAACAACTGAACTTACAAGAAAACCTAAACTAAACAATGCCAGCCGAATCAATTCACAACAAAAGTTGACGGATCGGGTGGCGCAGGCTTCTTGATTTTGCTGAGGCTGGATTTTCTGCTACTAGCGGCTCTCTGGAGTGCAACAATGGAAGGCTGTCTCTAGTCTCAATGTGGCAAAGCTATGAATATTCTCCAAGCGCTTCCCACTGCCACGTGCCTGTTCTTGTTTGTTGCGCCTTTTGCATTGAAATTTGCCTTCCAAGGAGCGGAAGCGTGGTTTGCCAGTCTCTTGCCAGAAGGTTGACTCTGCCAAGGGTGCCAGGATAAAACATGATAAAACGAC